TATAATTTACAACAATCTCAAGATTGTCTTCCCTCAACCTAACGCATTGATTACACTATTTAATATTAATACAGAGCTCGGTTTCGGAAATGCTTACTTTAATTACATGTAAGATTAAACGTCATAGAAGTCTTTGAAGCAAACTTTTAACTAAGGTAGGAGGAATTTCTAAAATAGATTACGGTCAATATTTAGAAATATTCATCACATTCATATGAAAAATACTACAGAGTACAAAAGAATGTATGTTCGGGATAGCAACGTAGTCAAACGAAAATGTCCGATCTTCATTTGTACTAGTCTAGCCTATTCAATGCTGTTCCAATCATGACTGAATATTAAATTCATCTTTACTACAAAAATTTTAGGAGTGGATCGAAGGCAAACGAATGTTTGAGTACTTAGCATTGGAGCTACCAAAAGCAATAGATTCTGCTGAAATTCTGTCCGATATTGACTTCTATATCGAGAACAACAATAACAATATCCTGATTGCGAACAAGAACGGTGATCGACGAAGCGTAGGCATCATCGACAGATGCATACAAATCTACAGTGACATAGCAATTTTCATGATTGAACAGCATATGCAGCACACGAAGTAGTGATGCTCCTCAACTACTGGTTTCTAGTTTTTACGACGGTGCTTTCATGTAAATTATATTTCTTTAGTATTATTATTCAAAATGTATTGTGTTTTATATTGCTATTCTGTTTTGGTTTCGTTTATTGTTATCGAGGTCAAATATTATGTTGTGCATTGATATTTTAGGTTATTTTAGTATATTAAGAGCAGAAGCTATGTTGCGTAATGTTATTTTCTGCTGTCATTCTATATTGATAGGTTTATTATTACCTGTAAGTTTAACTGTATTGTGATGCTGCTAATTACATCACCTATGCGGAGTCCAACTTTAGTCTGAAATTTCTTTGAAATGTTTCTTTTCAGGAGTATGCTACGGGTTTTCTAGATTTTCCACTCGCATTAACTATGCTGGAGTGTATTTTGTAATTTATTATTGTGTTTCGAATAAGTTGTGTATTAAATGTATAGTTGTAGGAACATATGTAAGCAGTAACTATGGGATCTTTTATGGTAGACTAAGAAAAGAGAAACACTGAATTTCAGGGAAAAATTATTTAGTTTGCGTTCCATGGAATTCGAAGAGGAAATCCCTGTACTCGCTGCTAGTACGGCGGTATATAGTATGGTATTATATTGGGCCACACTTTGGGATTTTTTGTCCATGCCTATCACAAAGTTAGCTGACCTACCAATTCAAATTAGGACGCATTGTAGAGACCGTACTAACAATCGATAGCCTTCTTTCGAAAACTCTCTATTTTCCTCTCAACTACACTAAGCGTTAAGAGGTAAAATGGTGTTAGACACAAGAAATGATCGAAATATGATCGTTTTGAGAATGTACCGCAGGTCTCTATTCAAATGAGCAGCAGAAACTTTTGCAATGTAAGAGCAAAATCAACCTCGGGAAATGACACGTTCAGAGATTATGCTTGAACTGTATTTTGTGGTCGCAGCGCGATTTGCAGAGAAATAGCTTCTATTCACTACGAAGTCCGCCTCATGGTGGTCATTTTGCATGATAAGAACATTTCTTCATAGAACAAGCTGTCTCTATCATGCCATTCTCTGTTAAATGCTTGAAATGAAGAATGTTTCAACTATGGTGTTGACTATTTACTTACATGAAAAAAAGCTCATTGTACGCTGAGAAGCTTTATCGGAAAAAAGGAAGAAATATTGCACTGCAGTAAAGGAGGTCGTCTCAGTAAACTTTGCTAAAGTTTGCTCTTTGTCGCATTTTCCTTGAGGAAATCTCTAAGATCCTGCCACCATTTCGGTTTTGTATTAGGGTGAGAACGAAACTCTTTCACCAGCTCCTCATACGGCCTAAAGTTGAATACACTATTTGGATACACAACATTCACGCTATCAACTTACGTTCCGGTGCTGAGTCCTAGTGCCGAGTTAAGTACGAAGTCTGGTGGAGCGATGGCGTCAACTAGTGCGACAGCATCGGGCAACAGGTCGTCTTCAAGTCGGCGGATTGCGCTGCGTACGCCTTCTCCAAATTCTTCCCCATAGCAATATCCTCCTGCAGCAGACGACATTGCAAAGCAGATTTTTAGTTAAAAGGTCAAATCCTCCTATACCTATATAAAGGCTTGCTAAATGCTTTTCAAGACAGTAGAGACCATATAACGCCGGCATTCGGAGCAAAACCTAAACCACTCTGGTTTGATATGACAGAAAACGACATATTCTCTTGATTATGCTTTTTTTTTATTTACACCGAATGATTCACTGTATCAAACAGAGCTTTATAAGAAAAGGAATGCTTTCCATGCAGGAAAAAGGCTAGCAGACATATTAAGACCTCACTTTCTTACTTTGACCAGTAAAATACTTGGTTTGCCAAAGAGCCAATCTCACCTGACTAACAACATTTGAAATTGTTTAAAGGGATCACTTAGCCACTAAGAAATGCAATCAAACAAAGATGCATTCTCTTTTTTTTGGTAGAAATCAGTAAATATGGAATTAGGTGAATTGATAACCTGGCTGATTTGTGGATTGTCCAGCTGCCTATAGGTGTCGGCAGCCCACTTGATAGCAGTGTGCTCTGCGTAAGCCATACCAAGCATTTGTGCTTTGTGAACCTAAAAGGATAATGGCAGAGAAGAAGTGGCCCTTCCGAATAAAGTATCGAAAGCAGCCTTAATTTACGGTAGATTCTCCTCTACATACTATTTTGATAGCATGAAATCGTTCATATTCAAAGTAACCTTGGTATGTCAACGATTTGGTAGGTAGTAATACTGTCAACGTGACTTGGGCCACACAATAACGTGTGAAAACAAACTTCTATTATTTTTAATGAAGGAATAGATTTGATTACC